GGCCCTTTTATTACAGGTTTTACATTAGAATTCAGTTCAATTTTGATTTCAGACATTTTTCTGAAATTTGTTGTTTAAAATTTTCTAAAATTTCCACTTTCAACTTTACTACCACGACTTGGATTGATTTGAAAATTGAAAAAAGTTTTTAAATTAATTAATTTTTTCCAACATCCTTAAAGGTGTCTAAATAGACTATTCTCAACTTATCCAAAAATTTTCATCAAAATCTGGGTTCAAAAAGTTTTGAAGTTCCCTAAAAATAAACTGTCAGAGAGAAAAAAAACTAAAATTTCAGACCGAACAGCTCTCTCCGTGCTTGGAGACTTCTCACCATTATCACTGCTTACTTCCCATCCAGCCTAACTTTGAAACCCTACATTCTTCAATATCTCGGAGACAATGCCGACGATTGGCAGAGACCGTACCATGGTACGTCGAAAATCATATGAGGAGAAAATGCTGAACTATTATTATTATTATTCTAAAAATACAAATGTTTTTTCCAACAGGTACCGCACGAATTTGCCAAACAAACATGATTCAAACGTTCAAGTACGGTGGGCGTAAAGTTCTACTGAATGCTCTAGAAGTTCAACAGATTACGGTAATCGTGTTTTCATGTAAACAGTTTGATGAATATTTTTTTACAGGACGGAAGTCAACTGAGACGTCAAGCATTCTTCATCTCACGAGAACATAGTGTCAACCAGACACTTCGTCCAATTGCAGTAGTCGAGGAGATGATTCAGGAACTTTGTAGTCTGTTGAATGTGAGATCACTTCATGAGCAACAAGAATTCTCGTTGTGCTACACTGTTGGAAAAGGTGGCTCCTTTGAAACTTGCATTTTTGAATGGTCCCTAATTTTAGAAAAACGCCTCAACTACTGCAAGAACGATAGCTACTTGATGGACATCATCACCGAATGTGAACACAAGAAACTTCCGTTCCAATTCCATCTTAAGCGAACTGTTTGGGTTCACCCGTTACGATATGATAACGCCGCGTACATTGACTCGATGTTTGACCAAGTCAGACCCGAATCTTTTGATCTGTGTATTAAACGAGTCGTTTTTAGTTGATCGACGATTATCTGCGCGGATCACTCATTTCGACCAACTCGCTGGGTCAATTGACTGCTGCCACAACAGAGGAGATTATCAAATTAGCTGCCTACTTGTTCCTCCTACTTCCAAATGATAATGCAAAGAGACTTACTGCGTGAGTGCAAAGAGAAGAATTGGGGTGGATAGAGGGATGTGGAGGTTAATAGAATAGGTAAAAGCACAAATAACGTGAAATTGACTAGCTAGAAAGTTACAGCAATACTAAAACGATCAGAATACAAATTCGGAGCAGAATCTGCGAAATGTGTGAAATGACGCATGATAAAATCAAAAAATATAAAATACAGTAATCCGAAACTTCATAAAATTAGAAATGCAACATCTTGTCATAGTTTCTTTTGAAAACGCACATCAACCTTGAAGAAGCCGAAAGATCAGAGTTTATGGAGTTACGGTATGCATTTTGACTAATACCCAATTAATTTTGACAACTTTCAACATAAAGTAACAAAATATTTAAAAAAAAAAGTGTTTTGTGGCATATCATGTTCAAGGTTCTGAATCTCGGCTGTCAAGTTTCCGATCACTTTGAAAGAAACGGGAAAAAATTGTTTGCCAAAAATTTGCAAATAGTTGAAAAACAAGAAATTTTCAAGAAACTCTGAAAATGCAAAATTTGCAATCTAGGTTAGTTTTACACCTTTCAAAATTTTCGAACTAATTGAAAAAATGCCAGTTGAACTAATTGAAAAAGTGCTTCTGAAAATAGTCTTTGATCAGCTCCAGATAGCCAAAATTACCAAAAATCAATTTTTTGTATCCTATTGACCGGTACTGTAAGATGAGTTAAGCCTGGCAACTTGAAAATAACAAAATACAGTAATCCGAAACGTTTAAAAACAAGCCACTGCGATACCTTGTCACAAATATTACAATTTACAGTGACCCTAAACAATGACGTAACCCTTCTCAGCCGACTTTTCAATCTAATAAACCCAACAATTCTATTTTCAGCAAGACACTTCCTCAAATTGTACCCAAAAGTGTCATCGAACCCAAGCATCGACACCAGGAAGAGATGGTGACGCGTATCAATCGACAACTGAAAATGTTCGGTGGTCGAATGCGACCCGCCGAGGCCAAGTCTCACTTCCTAGGTATTCCCCAAACTACGGGGCAGCGAAAATAACACCTTTTTTAATTCTCAGAACTTTTGTCAACATGGCCTTTGTTTGGTGTCCTGCACTACCGGTTAAAATCCGTCGTTGAGAATGGCAACCAATTGCCAGAGGTGATTCTGACGATAAACAAGTCTGGAATTCAGTTACTGCAACCAAAATCAAGAGAGGTTTTTAAACAGAGAAATTATGATCAGGTACTAATGACCGTACAATGGCAAACGTGAACTTTTGATATTGTGTTCAGATTGAATCGGTCGAAAGTATTCGGAAGACTGCGTACAGAATTGTCCGATTGGTGATAAACACCCCGGAGGGTGAGGAAGCATTGGACATCAAAACGGACGAGGTGAGAAAGAATTCGGGTACAAACCAAGGCGTTCGTATCAAATTAGGGTCTCCGGAGGTCATTCAGGTCTCATAAGATCTGTACCAATTCGAATAACCGAAATAATTGAATAACTCAGAGCATACATCACGTACAATAGTAATTTGATTCAATTTGGCTTGGTTTTCTTTGTTCTTTTGACTACTGCAAATCAAAGAAATTGAGAGTTCATAGTGTAAAAGAAAATTGACCGCCAAACCAAAGAGAGACCAACAAACAATTTGCAAAAAAAAAAAGAAGCTGAATGTGTTTTGTTTGTTTCAGGCCGACGAAATTTCTCACTTGATTGGTCAATACATGTTTGTGACTGGCGGCGTCGAAGATCGGGACCGAGGGTCGTCAACGGAGCTGTGAATTATTGTCCCCCACTCAATAATTTCCCAATCATCTTCAATGTGCAAGTTGAAGGCTTTCAATTATTACTATCTCACTTAACCAAAAACCCCTTGATCCCCAAATTTATCTTTCAGAATTTTTCCCTTATTTTCAAATTTTCTGTTTCTGTGTTATGATCCTTCAAATATAATTTTATGATTTATGACTTTTTACCGTACTTCCCATAAGCTGACACTGAGTTCAATGAATAAAGCGACAATATACCACAAGTTCAGCGAATTTCCTCTCCTCATACATAAACAAACAATGAGGTACAGTAGGACAAAATTTGAATAGCGCGAGACTCTTCCCATAATCTGTTCCGCGAATTGTATACATATTTCAACACCAACGAATTTTGAATAGAGATCATTTTCTGTAGAATGGGGTGTATAAACCGATTGAAATCATAAAATGGAACGATATATTCCTAATTCCACGCGCATTATTGGTTCACCCCGTCGCCATCCCCACCGAAGTTCGGCGAATTCGGCACATGGCGCTCGCCTTTCGTCGTTTTCTCTCGCACACTCTCGCTGCCCAGCATGACACTTTCGAAGATCTCACCGCCTCAGGCCACGCCCCTAATTTTAAGACCTTTTATAGGCAACAAATGGGGTGGAGAGAGTACAAACTTTTTTGATATAACACATCGGTGACAAAAATAAAATAGTGTGTTGAGTACAAAGCGGCTTTAAAAGATCGGTTCTTCGATTCGACACACTCACACTTCTTGACCAACACAATCTTTTTGATTCACTTTCATTCTCACCACTATGAACCTGGTTCTTTTAATTCTCGTTTTCTTTGTTGTATTTACTACTGGCGTTGATTGCAGGTACGTTTTTTGTTCTCTTTTTTTTTCTTTGCTAGCATTTTTGATTGTTTGATTTCTACAAGAATGTAGATTGAATTGAAAGTTCTAAAATGGTTTTTCAGTTTTATTGAACCTGAAAATTTCTAAGAACGGTTTTGCGCTCATTAAATTTTCCTGATTAGCCAATTTTCTGTAGATGACTTGCTGTAGAATACTGTAATACTGGATTCATAACTTTTTGAAAGTTATAGTAAACTATCCCGAACAAGTTCATGGTGAATGTGGCGCCTAAAAATTAGTTAAATTCTTGGAACTTCATTTTCAATCAGTTTGGGCTCAATTATCTCGGTTTCTGTAAGCAATATTTAAAAAATGTTCAACAGATAAATTGTTTATCATAATATCACCAATATTTTATATGTGAACGTATTTTGATATCTTTCATAGGAACCGAGATATTTGAACTGAAGTAATTAGTGGGCTCACTTTAGAGAAATACGGTAACTTCCTTTGCGGAATTGTTTTGAGATTTTTAACAGTTCCTGATTAACAACTTTACTTCAAAATACTGCAACGTCAAAATCCGACATTATTAAAGTTTACAATAACCCTTACGTAATAACTTCACAGTAACAACACCATTTTTCATTTATCCGAAGTTTTGGAATGCAATTTCCCCGTTATCACAGTTTTCTAGTATTCTATTAAGCTCAATCAAACAAACCTAAAATTTGACATTTATAGCTCTGAAAATTTTAAATCATTATCATGTTTTCAGACGACGACGCATGGTCATCGATGACGTGATTCGACATAAGCGAGCAATGCTATTCCGGGAAGATCTGATACCTCAAAACAACGTCAACCCATTTTGATTCTCCCCTCTTGTACTTAGTTCTCTCTTTTCTTGTTACTTATTCGAGTCGAAAACATGCTTTAATTGGATGAAATTCATTTTTGTCAAGAAAAAACACCCGAAAGCTAATAAAAGCTTTTTTTGAAATGTATTTTTCATCATTTTTATGGACAAAACTGAAGTTTTCTAAACAGGTCGAGTCTAAATCAAAGGAAGGAAGACAGGGTGCACACTTAAGAATTTTTGCACAGAACAAGAAAAAGAAATGATAAGAACGTCTCGGGGGGTTTTCATCTTGATTTTTTCATGTCAACGCCACATTTTTGGGTTAATGCGATTACTAATAATAGAATTAGGGCTTCGAGCTCATTCAAACACACGTTCTCTCTTGGTATTCTGTTTGTTTAGACTTTGATTTCATTTTTTATATATCAAAATGAGCTATTGATTCTTTTCCAGCAGTTTATTTAAAAAAAAAAATTTCCAGCAGTTCATTAAAAAAAAATGAGTATACTTATTCAATCGGGTTCCAATTCGAGAGGTTATGTCACTTCGAAAGAAATGTTGATGACCTATATTCATAATATGGCTAAAGCAGATATTCGAAAATTATTGAGACCTGTGAAAGATGGACTTTTGACAGAGAACACAATGTTCCATATGAATACTCAGTGAGTTCATTTTTTGTAATCTAGATACATTCTTTTTAGAAATTTCTCTGTTGACCACGTGATTGTTCCGATTTCCATCACCGACTTTTTGAAGGAACTTGATCCAGAATGGCTGCGATGGATACACAAAGGTGAATGTTCAAGATCATGTTTTTGTGTGTAATGTGTACTCCACTGTTTCTCGATTTATCAATTCACTGATATCGTTTTTTCCAGCTCCCGGTGATGGTGACCTGGAAGAGAGGCGTTATGCTCCGCATGCGAATTTTGATTATCATGGAGATGTACGAAATAGTTTGATTATAGTGAATTGGAAAATTTGATCTTTTCAGCATGTAGATAGTGATGTGATATTGGATTATGTTACTGGAATGGATAAACAACAGAAGCGAGCACTTTTGAACTTAATTCGGGAAGGTGTCCTGACAGATGAGTGTTTTATCAATATTTCAACACATGTTGGACCAGAGAGAGTGCAGGTAAGATATCATATTTCGACTTCAAAATTCTCAATAAATTAGCTCCAAATTCTTCAATTTGTCTGAAAAGTTCAGTGAGTATTTTACAAAATAAGGACTCAAGTTTTCTATTCAATATCTGTTTCAGCAAGTTGCATGTTGATAAGATATGCCGTTAGAACCCAAAAATAGGCAGAAAATGCCACGTGAAAATATCATATCGATCCGAAAGATACTTTGAAACCCTGAAAAAGTATACCCGAAATTTATTATTTGTCTGAAAATTGTTCATTGTACCAAACAAGAAAGTAACTTCAGTTCTGAAATTGACAACTTTCTTGTAGAAATCCATCAAACCCATCCAAACAATTTTTGAGTAACACAACTTATATTGCAGATATTTTCATATTTTTGATTTTTGGTCCAAACGGAAAGTCTATTGGAAGTTGTACAAAAATGTTGTCAATCTCAAAACAGAACGTTGTTTTGTTTTAGTACCCTCTGAACTTTTCTGACAAGTTCAAAAAATTTTGGCTATTTTTTGAGAAGTTAAAGCTAGCTACTAAGTTTTTTTCTACAGGAAAAGTTGGAAAAGGTCTTCATTGATCATTTTTGCGTCCCAACTACCGTAATTCCTACTTCCAGGTGCCTATGGGTAGAGTTGTGGACGCCATGCGCATAATACAAGAAGGCGAACAAGATCTCCAGAAAGAAAAACCAACGTTTCTGAAAATTTTTACGATGAAACACTATTCATCAGCCTCGTTTGAGAACCATTATAGAGCTGGTGATTTTGCTTTAAAAAAATCAAAACGAATAAGTTTTATAGATCTGAAAGTGCGGTCATTGACAGCTGCGAGATATACAATGCCGATTTGGTATACTATCCTTTTTTCGTTGATGACTTTAGCAACATTTGCATCTCATATATGGTCTCAAGTCACCAATTTCGAGGGGTTACAAGAAGCGTTGTCAATGGCATTGCCCACGGTTATTTTGGTATTGTCAAGGTGCGTTTTGAAATCTACTAAAAGAAAACAAAGGAAAAGTGTTCAACTGAAAAAAATATTTATGATGTTATATTAAACTTTTTGTCAGTTTATCATTTTCCTAAATCATTAACAAAAACTGAGGAAAAAGTGGACGGTTGAAGAGCACTTCATTACCAGAATAGCATATTTAACGCTACGCTAGTCTTTAGGAAGCCTTTTTCAAACATCTTTAGGTTATAGGTACCGTATTATTTATAATAGAAACCCACCCTTATAAGTATAATTTGAAAAATAGAAGCCCACGGGCTTCTTTTAAAGAAAATACTGTATACCGGTTCTCAACATTTAGTCCAAGACGGCTTAATATAGTTTCTATTTTCCAGTCTCCTTATTGGCATGCTGCTTTATTTCAATATCTACATGGTTGGATTCTTATGCTGCTGTGAGAACAATTTCTCGAATCATCTGGTAACCAAAGACCTTGACTACTCCGCCCTCTATGTACATTTTTGGTGAGCCCATTCAAATTTTCAACAATTAATGTTACGTATTTAGTGAATTGAACAAGTTTCAATACCGGATATATTGTGTGAAAGGGCTCCAATTCATACTTTTGTGGTACACAATGCTTCTGGCTGCTTACGCCCATGAGCATGATTTGAATATCTATCCAGCGTTAGTTTGTGTGCTGACGAATGGATTTGGATTAATGTTGTTTGCAAGGTTTGATGAACTCTTGGAAAAACTATCACCGAGTCGAAGTGTTTCAGAATGGCCGAATTCTTCCGTAGGTGTCGAAAAACGAGAGATAGGACTGCTATCGCTGCTCGGTAACCAGAAAAATTGAATTTCGATGTATGATCTATTGAATTCATAATAATTGAACGTAAAAAAACTGTAATGTATTAGTGTTCAATTGGGTAAAATGTATAAAGATTCGATTCATGATTAGTCAAAAGATATAAAAACAACTTTCATGATTTCAAAATAGAGAATGTAAGAGCTATTTACAATATTTTGAGCTTAATTATCTTGGTTTCTTCGAACTTTGTCAAAAGTTTGCTAACTGATAAAATTTTAGTAATTTTATGATAAACATTTTATCAGTTGGCACATTCTTGATATCTCTTCAAGAAACAGAGGTAACTGTGCTCAAATATCACGTACAGAGGGGGGGGGGGGCAAAAGTTTGGCAACAAAAAGAAGACGTCATAAATTCTCGGAAAATAGTCCAATCAGTTTCAAATTTTAACAGGACTTCATCAAAGAGATTTGTAACAAAATTAAATCATAGCTGTTTGTTTTTGGCAGCTCTGTTTCTGATGGCGGGGCACAACTTCTTTGGGTTGCGTTTGTGCTGGCACGGGGGTGGTCTGCCGGCAAAAGGTCCCATTCCGTCGAATAATTATTTTTAAGAGTCTCCCAAATTGTGTTAAAACAAATTGTTGTGTTAAAACAAACCGGCAAAAGGTCCCATTCCGTCGAATAAATATTTTTAAGAGTCTCCCAAATTGTGTTAAAACAAATTTGAACACATGCTTGAAAATTTCCTTGCACGAAAAGCCCCATCGTATTGTTGTCTGACTAGTGACAGGCCATTCTTTTTCGGGGATCAAATTGGAGAAATTGACTTGGCACTCCTGCTGAACATGTTTGTCGTCTGAGCAGGCGCTATATACTTTTGGAATGTCTAAATTTGCTATTCAAGGTAGATTATGATACAGGTAGTAAGATTTTTACTCAAAGTAAGTTTCTTGGTACACTTGCAGACCAGGCTCCACCAAAAACAACGATTTTTCCCCAATTCGGGTGATTCCTTCAAAACTCATGGTTTGCTGAGGATCGGCTGCCTAGAGAATCAACAGACTATTACTATTAGATAGCCAAGAAAATTGTGTCTATACATAACAATTTTTAGAATTGAGTTTTGCCTCTAAGCTGAACAGTGTCTAATCAATGATAGCGGTGGTCAAGCGCGTGCCAGAAGGTCAGGAAAAACATCAAAGGAAGCGTACAGAAAGTGGTGCCGTTTTCGTAAAAATTGAGATAAGGACATGAATCTTTGCACATCTACCAATGAAGAGACGAGGAATATTATAAACATAAAAGACCTGAAAAATGTGCCGGCGCGCAACAGCTTATGTCAAACGATTGTTGCCAAACTTTTGCCCCACCCTGTATACAGGGTACGCCAAATTATTGCATTCAAAGTTTAGTGCGAGCTGGTGGGCACTGTAGAATTTTTAGAACAATGATTTTGTACGTATTATTTATTCCCAAATTTTCAAATCGTTAGATTGACTGTTACACGAATGGTGACTAGTTCTATACACCTAGGCACCCTCGTCGAAGGCCTTTTTGGCAAAAATCCGTACGAAATCAATAAAATAATGAGCTTGGAGCTCCAAATAAGCAGTGAGTCAGTCAGTACAATCGTGAAAAATAAGCTCGGGCTGTCCCCATTTCATGTTCGAAAGACAAGAACTCGGTCGGGAAATGACAATCTGGTACGCATCCAGAAGTGCAAATCGACATTTGCTGGCACGCACCAAAATTAACACAAGAGGATGATGTTCGGCGACGAGAAACTCTGACATCGAAGGCCGAACCCTTATCAGAAAACTCTGACGTCTGTCGGTAGGCGGGGTCGGTGGTCGGTCGGTCGGCTAAATTCCCCGACCGAATGGAAGCCTTATGCCCGAGATCTGAGCTAGCTAATAATCACGGTAGGATGGCCAACCGAGCTTCATGTCCTTAGTACGTCATGGTTTTTGGTGCAAAAACCTCCGAATTCAATTTTTGTAGATTTTAGGTGAAATTCAGCAAAGAGTACTAATAGGAGGAAACTTTTTAGAGGTATGTTTTTCCGTGGACCAAATACTAATCTGGAAACCATGTTTGGTCTGTTCCACGGTGTTTTGGTTTCACTCACAAGCCAAAAATCGTTCAACCAGGGAGCGCGGCCAAATTTTCAAGTTCGGTACGACTTGCGGATGGTCACCCTTGTCGTCAGACATGATTTTGGTTGACTATTCCGCATAGGAATTTTTCAGTCGAGGGTCCCAGCACGTCCACATTCTGATTTGAAGTCGTTGGGGAAAAGTTTGGGCCGAGGACGGGCCCAGTTATCCCCAAAACACCTCCGTGCCACAGTAAACGCGTTACCAAAGAAACTTATGGATGTAGTGATGATCAAGAGCAACTGCATCGGACAACTTTGATAATGTCATTTTCAGAAAGTATGCAATAAACTATTGCCAAATTTTTGAATCTGTTCGAGTATTTTTAGAGAAGTTACAGCACTTTGAACGTTTTGCAATAACTTTGACGCACCCTGTAGAATAGGTTTCTATTAGAGCATGGACCTACAGCGCTGGGCCTACAAGTTCAATACTTCGAGAAACGCATAAGAACAAAATTTCGAGTAAAGTTTTTATTGGACTTTCTCTTAAAAACACAAAAAAAACGTTCGTAGAAACATTACTCTTGTCTGAAATCCTTGCACGTTAAAAAGATATATGTTGTTAAATTTTTGTTTAAAAAGCAAGAGCAGTCTATCGTATTTTTTGAGCATATCTTTTGATTTCATTGTTTTATTTTCTAATTTTTTCCACGATTTTTTATCATTCGATTTATATCGGATAAACTATGAAAATCGTTGAGAATTTAACTTTAGCGTCTTCAAAAGAAATTTAACAAAATGATCGCTCTCAACTTGCAAAAGAAATTGTAGAAATTGTTTTATTTTCAGTCATAGTTTATTATAACATCTTTGATCATACCATAACGTATTTCCTAATTTCCACCTTTACCGGAAACACAGTACAGTGACCATATCTAGACAATATTTGCTCATCATCAATGTGCAATAACGGGAAAAACTTGTCTACAAGTGTGCAAATGTACATCAGCTCATTGAGAAATCATCTTTCGAAACTTGGAATACTATTGCTACCCTATTTATTCTATAACTCGNCGGCGTTGAAAGTTGATTTNCAAGAGTTTTGTNCTGGAAAAACGCTCTACAAAGCTGCGATTATTACTCCGCTNTGATAGAAGAAAGAAGTGAAAACAGAAAACATCTGAAAAAGAAAAACAAGTATTTCCGGACGCGACCCACTTCTCGACCCATCCACCTGGAA